ATGGCGATGGAGTTTTTGCCGGTTCTGGTGTGATGCATCAGATGAGAGAACATAGAGTGGTTGCTTATGGTTCTTTCTCCATACTTGAATTCTCCACAAGCAATGGAGATTGGATTCTCTGTTTCTGTGGCTTGTTTGGATTCAAGCCATCTTACTTTCACTTTTAGCTGAGGCTCCAGAACTTTCCTGATCAGAGCGTAGTACCTAGGCATGTGGTCTAAAGGATCATAGAGTGCCCATATCTGTCCCACGGAGAAAGAGCTCATTGTGGTGTTGAAATTGTTGAAGTCTGCATCAGGACAGTTGTATGGCTCAGGCTCCTCATCATCTATGTAGGCAACAACTTCATAAGGTTCTCTTCTCTTTGCTTGACTTGTAGATGCAGATTCAGGATCAGCAAACAATGAAGGCGTCTCAAACTCATCTCTAGGTCTCTTTCTACTCTTTGCTTGTGTTAATGATGATCCTTTCTCCTTCCGTTTAAGGACTTTCTCTCTTTCTTTAAGTTGCTTCTCCTTGGCTTCTAAAGACTTTCTCTTCATTTCGATCTCTCTGGCTTGAGCTTCTTGTTTCAGTTTCATCCTTTTGATGGTCTCATCATGCAAACTCAGCTCCTTCTGCTTCTCTTCAAGCTCTCTCATTACCTCTTCAGAGTTCTTCTCCTTGACCTGTAGGAACTTTCTCTTCACTTCAATCTCTCTAGCTTCAGCTTCTTGTTTCAGTTTCCTCTTCTTCAGCTCAGTAAACCCCTCTTTGATGGTCTCATCAAACAAGCTGAGATCCATACGCTTCACTTCAAGTTCCTGTTTTATCACATCAAGCTCTCTCATTTGCTCTTCAAAACTCTTCTCCTTGACCTCTAGCGACTTTCTCTTCTCTTCAATCTCTCTAGCTTCAGCTTCTTGTTTCAGTTTCCTCTTCTCCACCTCTTCAACATGTTCCCTCACCGTTTCACTCAACAACTCCATCGTTTCCTCATATTCTTCCCACTGTTGCTTGAAATCTGTAACCTCTAAATCATGCTCTGTAACCTTAGTCATGAACTGTTGAATCGAACCAGAATCCATCATATCCCTAAGTTTATAAACCCATCAAAACAAACAAAAAACAGAACCGAGCTTAAGTAAATCATGTGAGAGAGACCAAAACACTTAAGACATTACAAGAAAGAAACCTACTTCCATCTATGTCCTAACAAGTCAGATACTTACCGATCTGGTAACGTCGAAGACAACTCCGGTTCCATTAAAAGCTTCGTTCTTTTAAGACAAAAGCAAATAAAGTTCGAAACTTTTTTTAAGGGTTTGAGCTCTGAACAAAGAGGAAGATGAGAAGATAAGGTCTGAAGAGAAAAAAAGGTTTTCTTTTTGTTTTAGCTATGACTATAACTGAGACGAGGGGAAGAGAAGAAAGGTACTTCTTTTATTTAGCTCTCTTACTGTAAATGGGAGGGAGAAAGAAACAGAGAGAGACCATTTCTAAAATTCTAATTTCGTGCAATGTTTTATTTATTTATGACCGTTGGATCAGTTTATGAGATGATGAGCCGTTGGATTACAGATGACGTCAGATTTGCTTTGTGTTTTGAACGTTGGCTGGTGTACGTACGTATGTGTATAATGTAGTAGCCGTTGGATCAATTTACAATTCATTGAGATTACATCTCATTTGTGGTTACTACTTCAATCAAATCAATTTTAAAGAAACATATTTATACCTAATTATTATATAGTCTTACAAAGAAACCAATTTCACAATGTCAAAATTCATCTTATTATGTCTAGATGTACTAGAAGCAATCAAATAAACAGAAAAAAAAAAAACTCAAAGACACAAGCAAAAATGAAGCCTAAGAAAGAGCCAAGAAAAAGTTATAAATTTTGGTATTAAGAAATAAGAAAGTACTCAAATAGGCAAAAAATTATATGTATATTTACTTTGACTAGGAATTAATATAAAGTATCTATGTATATTTACTTTGACTAGAAATATCATAAAGATTGGAATGTCATCAGTGAGTTTTATTTCTACACAAAATTATTCAAGAGACAATCTATTTAATTTTCTTTTTTTTTTAAACACAGACAATCTATTTAACTTGGTAATAAGAATTAAATAAAAACTCCTAATTAAGTAAGACATTACTATAAGATTATATAGGCATTTACTTTGACTAGGAGTTACATATTTACTACGCCTAGAAATTAAATATTACCTTGACTAAAAATTACACATTTGCGTTCTATTTACCTATAAATATGATGTAATCCGAAAGGTAGATCATCACTCAAAGCCCATTCTCTTCAATCATCTCAAACACAAAGAAAATATATAGAAAAATGAAGATCTCTTTCTCTTCTGTTCTCTTAGTACTCATGGTCGTTTTCATCATTTCTTCTTCAGGTAAAGTTTTATTATTTGCTAAGAAATTTTATCTACAAACAAAGACGGTGCTGTATACTACTTGGGATAACTGAAATTTTTGCTAACGTAAATGTAAATGTTTGTTTTTGTTCTATTTTGTTACGGTTATAATAAAATAGGAAACAAGAAAATGGTAGGAGAAGCAAAGGATTGTAGTTTTGATAGGTGGACGTGTGTAGGAGGAAGGAAATGCAGCGAAAAGTGCGCGGCTCTACACCAAGGGACTGGATGGTGTACTCTCCCTTCTCCTTATGTTCCTGCCTTATGTAATTGCTATTATAATTGCTAATAAATCTCTATGAGATACTATACAACAAATAATGCTTCTTCTAAATTAATCATTTGTAAACCTTTTATCTGTTAAATCTTATGTGATTCAATATAAAATTTATCTCAAAAGTGAAATCTATGATGTGTTTGTCTATAATCTCTGGTCAAGGGTAGTATGGATTGACATTAATAATGTGGTCATAATATAATTAATAATAGCCTAGTAGTTCAACGTATTATCTGAAAAAGGCTAATTTGATCGAGCAATAATCGTCTGAAAATCAAGTTTTGAAGACTAATCAAACCAGAGAGAAAACAATATTGTTTTCTACTGATTTTATTTTTGAACATCATTAACGATTTTATCGCATACCAATCCACACAGAAAATTTGTAAACCAATCAGTTTTACAATAATTTATATTTATATTTCGCAGTTGAGAAAGTGAAAAAATATCAAACAGAATATCGTGCAGTCTGCTTCATTTAAATTTCATTTACGTCTTACAGAGTCAAATAATGCAATCGATATGTAACGTTAGACAGTGCCGGCTTAGATTGTTTAATATGTTATATAAGTTCACATTACTTGAATGATTTCATCAACAATGCTGATATCCAAATTATCTGGGATAATTCCAGCACCAATACTTTGGATTAAATGTAGACCTAAAGTAAGCCAAAAACCGTGTTGATCATGAAAATAATTTTTTCAGCAAGACACTCCACGGATTAATGATGGTTCTACTATTAATGTCAAGACTCAAGAAGCAACTCTTACGCGGTTCTACTATCAAACAAATGCTCCTCGTAAAACGACCATAACAAGCAAAAATGAAGCGCAAGAAAGAGCCAAAAAAAAAGTTCATAAATTTTGGTTTGAAGAAATAAGAAAGTACTCAAATAGACAAAACATCCCATGTATATTAAAAGAGAAACATTCTCATTTAATATGTTCACATTACGTTTGCTACATGGCAGCTTCACAGCGATTTGAAAGCTTCTCCGCTAAACTCTATATAAATGCGTTCACACTATATAAAACTTACATACACGATTCTTTGTGCTATACAAAAGTTATACATAGAAAAATAGTTTAAAAAAATTTCACTTTCTCTAGACTTATTTGATTTTTGCTTAATTTATTTTAATAAATTACTATATTTTCATGAGGTATTTTGAACAAAAATTTCTTTTAATATTGATTACGCTATTTTATATATTTATCAACCACCTTTAGATATGTTTTACATACACATACATGTAAGAATGGGTATGAATCAGATATCCAAAGTTTTGGATGTATTCATGATCCAATATGTTTCGTCCGAATAATCAATTATCTGATTTGATTTGTAGCCATCCAAATATACGGTGTCGCGAAAAAATTATATTTTAACTGATTCTGTTTCGTCGTAATAAATAAATAAATTAAACATAGATAAATAATCTAAAATAATAAAATTTTGTCACAAAAATAACAATTTTGTTTACTTTTTGAATACTAATACCTAATTTAATAAATTTAGTAAATAAAAATATCGTAAAATCTTATATAGATTAGATTATTTTTATAACTTATATATATAATTCATTAAATATACGTACATATAAGCATATGACGAATCAGATCTGAAACCTTATTTGTCTCTGTTTCTTCAGAAATTACAGATTTTATAGAGGTTAGTCTACTAAATTAGGTGGAATATGAAGTTTTATTAAATTATTCGCTAAAATATTATAAACGATGCATACATACCATTAAAATAAATTTAAATATATTAATATAAATTTATAATGCGATCAAGCAAATGCTCCTCGCAAAAGGACCATAACAAGCAAAAATGAAGCCTAATAAAGAGCTAAAAAAAGGGTCATAAATTTTGGTATGAAGAAATAAGAAAGTACTCAAATAGGCAAAACATTATATGTATATTTAATTTGACTAGGAATTAATATAAAGTATCTATGTATATTTACTTTGACTAGAAATATCATAAAGATTGGAATGTCATCAGTGAGTTTTATTTCTACACAAATTTATTCAAGAGACAATCTATTTAATTTGGTAATAAGAATTAAATGAAAACTCCTAATTAAGTAAGACATTACTATAAGAATATATATGCATTTACTTTGACTAGGAGTTACATATTTACTTTGCCTAGGAATTAAATATTACTTTGACTAAAAATTACACATTTGTGTTATATTTGCCTATAAATATAATGTAATCCGAAAGGTAGATCATCATTCAAAAGCCCATTTTCTTCAATCATCTCAAACACAAAGAAAATATAAAAAAAAATGAAGATCTCTTTCTCTTCTGTTCTCTTTGTACTCATGGTTGTTTTCATCATTTCTTCTTCAGGTAAAGTTTTATTATTTGCTAAGAAATTTTCTCTACAAACAAAGACAGTGTTGTACACTTTTAGGATAACTGAAATTTTTGCTAACGTAAATGTAAATTTTTGTTTTTGTTCTATTTTGTTACGGTTATAATTAAATAGGAAACAAGAAAATGGTTGGAGAAGCAAAGGATTGTTTTGATACGTGGACGTGTGAAGGAGGAAGGAGATGCAGAGAAAAGTGCGCGGCTCTACACAAAGGGACTGGATGGTGTACTCTCCCTTCTCCTTATGTTCCTGCCCAATGTAATTGCTATTATACTTGCTAATAAATCTCTATGAGATATACAACAAATAATGCTTCTTCTAAATTAATCATTTGTAAACCGTTTGTCTGTTAAATCTTATGTGATTCAAAGAATAAACTCTGTCGCAAAAATGAAATCTATGATGTGTTTGTCTATAGTCTTCAATGGATTGACATTATAATGTGGTCATAATATAAAGTATCTATGTATATTTACTTCGTTTTTTGATGAAAGTATGTATATTTACTTTGACTAAAAATATCATAAAGCTTGGAATGTCATCAATGAGTTTTATTTCCACACAAAATTATTCAAGAGATAATTTATTTAATTTGGTAATAAGAATTAAATAACAACTTTTTGTAGAGATTAACCCACATCTTACTTCTTTTATTAAATTATTCATTAAAATATTAAAACTGATTATATTTGAAAAACTGATAATTTTTAGGGGTTAACCCACATAGTTTAAGATAAATTAGAAAACATGATTTTTTTTTGATGAATATTGCATCATCCATTTGCATAGTATGAAGAATAAAGAGGTTTAAACCTTAAGTGTTCATGTTTCTCCAAAAAATTGAATTTTTATAAGGGTTAATCCACTTATTATATGGTATATAAAGTTTAAATAAATTACTCATTAGAAAATTCAAAATTATGCCCATATACCATGAAAATAAGTTTAGCATTAGAGTGTGGTTATGTATTTTAAACGACATTTAAGAGGATAAATAGTATTTCCAAAAATTTCAATATTTTCGTAGTGGTTACCCCCATTTTATTTGTCTCTGTTTCTCCATAAATTACAGATTATATATGGGTTAGTGCGTTGAATTAGATGGAATATGAAGTTTTATTAAATTATTCATTAAAATATTAAAACTGATTCCCAAGTACCATGAAAATAAGTTTAACATATATTAATACAAATTTATAATGTGATTAGCTATTTTTTAGTCAACATGAAAAGAGCTTAATATAGCATTATCTTTTTGTAGGGATTAACCCACATATTTCAAGATAAATTAGAAAACATGTTATTTTTTGTTTTAATGAATGCGGCATCATGCGTTGTCAAAGTATGAAGAATAAAGAGGTTTGAGACTTTAGATGCTCTCGTTTCTTCTGAAAATAGAGTTTTTGTAGGGGTTAGTCCACTTATTAGGTGGAATATGAAATTTAAAATTAATTACTCATTATAAAATTATAAAAGATGTTCATGTACTATGAAAATAAGTTTAGCATATATATGTATATAAATTTGGAGTGTGGTTATGTAATTCTAAACAAATTTTAAGAGGATAAATAGTATAGATAGTATTTTTTTTTTAAATTAATATTTTTGTAAGGGTTAACCCATATATTTCAACATAAATAAGAAAATATGAATTTTTTTTAATGCATAGATGAATCATGCCCTGACATAATACGAAAATTAAAGATGTTTGAGACTTTAGGTGTTTCTATTTCTCTAGAAAATAGAGATGATTTAGTACACTAATTAAGTCGTATATGAAATTTAAAAAAGACTCTTTGGAAAATTATAAACGATGCTTATGTAGCATGCAAATATGTTAATCATACATTAATATGCATTAGAGTGTGATTAGGTATTCAAAAAAAAATTAATGAGGCTAAACTTTATTATTTATAACATCTATTGTAAAATACTTGATCTTTACGTAAAATAAATTATAAATATGGTATTTTATTTTAGTGAATAAATTCATCATGTAATGACAAGTGATAAAAATGAAAGAGGTCTGAAACCTTATTTGTCTCTATTTCTTCAGAAATTACAGATTTTATAGAGGTTAGTCCACTAAATTAGGTGGAATATGAAGTTTTATTAAATTATTCGCTAAAATATTATAAACGATGCATACATACCATTAAAATAAATTTAAATATATTAATATAAATTTATAATGCGATCAAGCAAATGCTCCTCGCAAAAGGACCATAACAAGCAAAAATGAAGCCTAATAAAGAGCTAAAAAAGGGTCATAAATTTTGATATGAAGAAATAAGAAAGTACTCAAATAGGCAAAACATTATATGTATATTTAATTTGACTATGAATTAATATAAAGTATCTATGTATATTTACTTTGACTAGAAATATCATAAAGATTGGAATGTCATCAGTGAGTTTTATTTCTACACAAATTTATTCAAGAGACAATCTATTTAATTTGGTAATAAGAATTAAATGAAAACTCCTAATTAAGTAAGACATTACTATAAGAATATATATGCATTTACTTTGACTAGGAGTTACATATTTACTTTGCCTAGGAATTAAATATTACTTTGACTAAAAATTACACATTTGTGTTATATTTGCCTATAAATATAATGTAATCCGAAAGGTAGATCATCATTCAAAAGCCCATTTTCTTCAATCATCTCAAACACAAAGAAAATATAAAAAAAATGAAGATCTCTTTCTCTTCTGTTCTCTTTGTACTCATGGTTGTTTTCATCATTTCTTCTTCAGGTAAAGTTTTATTATTTGCTAAGAAATTTTCTCTACAAACAAAGACAGTGTTGTACACTTTTAGGATAACTGAAATTTTTGCTAACGTAAATGTAAATTTTTGTTTTTGTTCTATTTTGTTACGGTTATAATTAAATAGGAAACAAGAAAATGGTTGGAGAAGCAAAGGATTGTTTTGATACGTGGACGTGTGAAGGAGGAAGGAGATGCAGAGAAAAGTGCGCGGCTCTACACAAAGGGACTGGATGGTGTACTCTCCCTTCTCCTTATGTTCCTGCCCAATGTAATTGCTATTATACTTGCTAATAAATCTCTATGAGATATACAACAAATAATGCTTCTTCTAAATTAATCATTTGTAAACCGTTTGTCTGTTAAATCTTATGTGATTCAAAGAATAAACTCTGTCGCAAAAATGAAATCTATGATGTGTTTAGTCTAACATACATGAAAGAGCTTAAACTTTAGTATATAGCATTTATCGGAAAACTCGATTTTTTTGTAAGGATTAACCCACAGATTTCAAAATAAAGTAGAAAATATGGTACTTTTCTTCTAGTGCATAGATGCATCAAGATCATAAATAAGACTGAGATCAAGGATGTTTTACATCTTTGTTGTCCCAATTTCTTTTGAATATAGAGATTTTATAGACTTTAAATCTTTGATTTACGTGGTATATGAAATTTTATTAAATTACTCGTTAAAAAATTATAACTGATTCGCATGTACCATAAAAATAAATTTAGGATACGTTAGTATAAATTTTAACGTTGTTAGATATTTAAAACAACCCTAAAGAGGCTAAACTTAACTACAACAATCATTTATCGAAAAAGCTCGAGTTTTTCCGTAAAGTTAACCCACAGATTTCAAGATAAATTAGCATATATATATATATATATATATATTTATATTTTTGTATTTATGCATATCTGCATCTAACACTGATATATGATGAATATCAAAGAGTTTTGATACCATAATTGTCTAAATTTCTCTAGAAAATAGAGATTTTATAGGGTTTACTCCTTAATTTTGGTGGTATATGGAGTTTTACTAAATTACTCAGTACAAAATTAAAACTACTGCCCATATACCATGAACATAAGTTTAGTATATTAATATGAATTTTTAAAGTGGTTAGGTATTTTTAAACAAAACATTAAAGGCCTATATATTACATTTAGCAAAAAAACTCTATCTTTTTGTAGGGATTAACCCATATATTAAAAAAAAAATTAGAAAATATAGAATTTTTGCTTTAATGCATAGATGTATTATGCACTGATATAGTATAAATATTAAAGATGTTTGAGACTTTAGGTGTTCACATTTCTCTAGAAAATAGACATTTTATGGAAGTTAGTACACTAATTACGTCGTATATGAAGTTTTAAAAATATTACTCTTTGAATATTATCAATGATGCTTATGTACCATGGAAATATGTTTAGCTTACATTAATATGCATTAGAGTTTGGTTAGGTATTTTTTAAAAAAAAAATTAACGAGGCTAAACTTTATTATATATAACATTTATTGGAAAAAAACTTGATCTTTTTGAAAAATAAATTAGAAAAAAGGTGTTTTTAAATGTATAACTTCATCATACAATGAAAAGTGAGAAAAATTAAATAGGTCTTAGACCTTATTTTTCTCTTTTTTTTCAAGAAATTTTATATTTTATAGGGGTTATCCACTAAATTATATGGAATATGAAGTTTTATTAAATTAATCTTTAAAATATTAGAATTTATGTCTATATGTTGTTTAAAAATACCAAACCACACTCTTAATGTATATTAATGTAGGTTAAACATATTTTCATGATACATGGTCATCATTTCTAACTTTCCAATGAGTAATTTATTTAAACTTCATATACAATTTTATTAGTGTCTTAACCCCTATAAAATCTATATTTTCTAGAGAAATGAGAACACATATGGTCTCAAACCTCTTTAATCTTCATACTATGTCAGTTCATGATGCAAATATGCAATAAAACAAAAATAAAAAATTTCTAAGTTTTCTTGAAATGTGTTGGTTAATAACCCCCTTTGAAAAAAATAAATTTTTTGATAAATGTTGTCTATAATTTTAAAAATTTTAGTGTTGTTTAAAAATACCAAACCACACTCTCAACGTATATTAATGTAGACTAAATATATTTTTATGGTACAAGCTCATCATTTCTAACATTCCAACGAATTAATTATTTAAATTTCATATACGATCTTATTTGTGTCATAACCTCTATAAAATCTTTATTTTCTAGAGAAATGTGAACACATAAGGTCTCAAACCTCTTTAATCTTCATACTATGTCAGTTCCTGATGCAAATATGCAATAAAACAAAATTAAAAATAATTTCTAATTTTTCTTGATATATGTGGGTTAGTGTTGTTTAAAAATACTAAACCACACTCTCAATGTATATTAATGTAGGTTAAACACACATTCAAGGTAAAAGGTCATCATTTCTAACATTCCAACGAATTAGTTATTTAAATT